TATCGAATTCCAAGTGTCAAGGAATCTTTTATGCGCACGCCAATGTGTACACAGGACCTCGGTTTTTCCTCCCATTCGAAAGACTAGACAGCTGTCCTTGTCATTCCCTCCGTCCTGCAAGTCTGTGCCATTGGTTCCATGTCGGCTGTATATGCCAAACAAGACCGAGGCCATGGAAAATGACCAAAACTGGATCTTACCTGTCGGTCATTTTGCTCATTGGAAAAAATAGACTCTATTCTGTGACAAGATATGAAAAGTGTGTGGCAAAAAATTTCATTTTATGATTATCATATTGTCAAAATTTAATTATAGTTATTTGAATCAATATTAATTGTAGTTTAACAGTCAAATCAAAATCAGAATATTTGTTTTCAAAATCAGAGACGGGGGGTTGGATGGCCGAATGGTTAGCACGTCCGTGCTGTATCATAAGGCCTGTCATTGAGTCAACTGGCATGGTTTTGAATCCCTGCTTGTACGTGACAAGGAGTAGGTCGCCTGTCCAACCTCGTGGGTTTTCTCCGGGTCCTCCGGTTTCCTCCCATTGCTAAAGACCCCTATGCGCAAGCGAATTATTGAAATAAAAATCAAACCATATGTTAGTCCCGAAATGACCTAGTTTGTGTCGAGTGGACGTTAAACCCCATTTCTCCCTTTCTCTCTGTTTTCAAAATCAGAGACAAACATGCAAGCTCTTTACACTGTAATTGGGGTATCATTTAATCTTGTGTATTTTAGCACTAATTTCTTACACATTCATTCAATATCAAATCCTTGTTTAAAAATTTGTAAAAAATCATTTAAAATCACCAAAAATCATCTAATTTGTACCTGTGTTCAGTTTAAAGCTGACCATTCAATTTTGATAATCAGAGTCCAATTTACAAACATTTAATTTTTCAATCACTGTTAAAAAATAAACAACCCAAATGATTATTGATGTATAATGATTAATTTTTGAACACTGGTCAGAAAATTAAATACTTGTAAATTGGACACTCTTTATCAATATTAATCAGTCAGCCTTAAACTGGACCCAAGTACAAATTAGATGATTTTTGGTGATTTTAAATGGTTTTTACGAATTCTTAAACAAAGATTTGATATTAAACGAATGTGAAAGAAATTAGTGCTACATACACAAGATTAAATAATACCCAGATTATAGTGTTAATTTTTATGACTCATGTCTTGTAATAATTTAGAGTTTTTCCATTACCATTTATTACATGTTGCAACCATTTAGATCATATTTAATGTAGAATATCAAAATCATAAAGATCAAATAAAAGAATTATATAATTTGCGACATTTGTAAGTCTCTAGAAATTAAATGAACTGATGGACATTAAACCCATTTCTCTCTGTAGGATATAGTCGTTAACATTAGAATCGTGTTTTGAAGTAATTAGAGTTTTATCCATTAGGTCTACCAGTACAATGTTGAAGTATTTATATATTTATGATAGATATTAATTAGTGTGGAATATCAGAACCTTAGACTAAATAAAATAAAAGTAGGATTTTTAATTGGGTTATTAGAGACATTGACGAATACATAAAGAGATAAATATTTATGATAACCATTGATGCATTCAAGACGCAGCTGGAATTTGGGGGGGTGGGGGTGGATGGCTGAATGGTTAGTGTGTGCGCGCTGTATCATAAAGTCTGTCATTGAGTCGACTGGCGTGGTTTCGAATCCCCGCTTGTACGTGACAAGGAGTAGGGGCGCCTGTCCAACCTCGTGGGTTTTCTCTGGGTCCTCCGGTTTCCTCCCACTGCTAAAGACCCCTATGCGCAAGCGAATTATTGAAATAAAAATCAAACCATATGTTAGTCCCGAAATGACCTAGTTTGTGTCGAGTGAACGTTAAACCCCATTTCTCTCTCTCTCTCTCTCTAGCTAGAATTTGAAAAAGAACATTGTCTAGTCATTTGGTTAAGATTGAAAACGAGGTCCCATGTACACAAAGGACAGGACAGCAATTGTGCAGGACGGAGGGCCTGACAAGGACAGATGTCTAGTCGTCCAGATGGGACAAATAAAACAAGGTCTCGTGTATATATTGGAGTGCACGTAAAAGATCCCTTGGCAGTTGGAATTCGATATGAGAGTAGGCTATAGCACCGCTGTCTGGGCAAAATTTCTCTCATAGCACACTACATGGTGTATGCCCGTCTTAATTATCCCAGTCGGAGCAGAACAGTAGGATGTTAAACCCCATTTCCTTTCATTTCCTTGCCATGCCTTCCATCCTGCATCTAGCAAAAAAGACGCCAAGCTGAAAAATCCAGGAGAACTTTGATGGCCGTCCCATGGATTGAACTCGGATCCTCCTGGCTAGTTGAACAAGTGCCTTACTAAGTACGAAGCTACTGTGGCTCAGGTTTATATGAAAATGAAATGAAATTAAATGGGGTTTAACGTCCTACTGTTCTGCTCCTATACTGGGCTAATGAAGACGGGCATAAGCCATACAGTATGCTATGAGGGAAATTTTGCCCGGACAGCGGCACTATCGCCTACTCTTGTCTTATTTCGAATTCCAACTGCCAAGGGATCTTTTACGTGAATTCTAATGTATACGTGGGACCTCGGTTTTTCGTATCATCCGAAGGACTAGACAGTTGTCCTCGTCAGGCCCTGCATTCTGCACCGCTGACCAGGTTCATATGAAAATGATAGATTTTTTTGTAATAGTCATGTCTCGTTAATCAGTACTGGTTAATTTGAAAATGGTAGGTTTTTTGTTTGTAATCGTCGTGTCTCTTTAATCACTACAGGTTAATATGAATCTGTTATTGATTTTATAAATTTAAACATGTTTTATATATTATTGTATTACCATATATATCAAATTATTATTACACTATAACCATAGTTATATATTACAATATATATCAAATTACTGCATCCAGTTGTTAAACTTTCTGTATTCTCACCACAAATATTTACATGAAAAAAAAGTATGTTTAATGAAACATATGAATATTTGTTAAATTAATTTTATTCTGATAACATTTTTTTTATTTCCGCATCCAGTTATTAAACTCTCCGCATTCTCGCCACAAATATTTACATGAAAAAACAAAGTATGTTTAATGAAACATATGAATATTTGTTAATATTTGTTATTCCGACACATTTTTTTTTATTTCCGCTAAACTTAGTTGACTGTAGTATTAGTGAAAAGGTTATATCTAGCATGTTCAGGACAGAGGGCCTGATAAGAGACAATGTATAGTTGTTCAGATCGGATAAAAAACTGGGGTCCCATGTACATATTAGCGTGCACGTAAAAGAACCCTTGGCATTTGGAATTTGATATAGAGAGAGAGAAATAGGTTGAACATCCACTCAACACAAACTAGGTCATTTTGGGACTAACATATGGTTCAATTTTATTTCAATAATTCGCTTGCGCATAGGGGTCTTTAGCAGTGCGTGGAAACGTGAGGACCCGGTTGGACAGGCGACACTGCTGCTTGTCACGTACAACCGGGGAATTGAAACCACGCCAGTTGACTTAGTGACAAACCTTATGATACAGCACGCACATGCTAACCATTCAGCCATCCAACCCCTGATATAAGAGCCGGCCATAGCACTATTGTCCGAGCATAATTTCTGTCATACCACACTGTATGGAATTCGAAATAGGAGTAGGCCGTAGCACCTCTGTCCGGGCAAAATTTCTCACAGTATACTGAATGGACCTCTTATTGTGATGAATTGTTTATCTCATTTTATTTGCTATATCAGCGCAGGCCTTAGGTTATTTCAGACTCTGTGTAAATGTGGAGTCTACTGTACTGGCCCCCATGTCAAATTGTTTATCAATGCAACATATGTATATTTGCAACATGTATATCAGCACTTGCCTTAGGATATTTCGAACTCTGTGGCATAGTATACTGTACAGGACCCCCACCCCCCATTGTAAGACATGTCAAATTATTGATATCATTTTATTTTTCTATATCAGTGCAAGCCTTAGGTTAATTCTGAGTCAGAACATAATACATATATACTGTGTACAGGCCCCCTGTGACACCTGTCAAACTCTTGATCTCATTTTATTTGCTATATCAGAGAGGCCTTAAAGGAGCTAAATCGCTAACATTTGGGACCTAGAAATTCACAAAAGTGGGTCGCAACGCATATAATACTGTAATATGAATGTATATAAACTGATTTACATTTAATGGTTTCCGTTTTTACTCCAATTTCAAATCAGTTATGTTCGGCGAAATAAGTCAGCAATCTCAATCGAGTGCAAATTTCTAGTGTCTAGTTATTCTAGTCTACGTAACTCCATTTGATTTGGTGCAATGTGTCTAGCCTCGTCCCTTGAGTCTCTCAATACAACTGGGGCTGAAGCGCATTATGGTACACGATTCGTGTACCAATGATAAAAAAAATTATTTTATCTTAAATATCGGATATCAGAAGCTCATCTTTTCCCGGTAAGTTTACATCATCAATGTTGATTTAAATTGACCAATAATGCGTGTTTTCGATGTCGAGGATTTTGAGTTACGGACTTGGGTCCTTTAAATATCGGTTAATTCGGTCTGCAGTGAAAACTATACTGGCTGCCTAATGACACAAGTTAAATTGTTTATTAATACTAGTCATTGTATATTGAAGATAAGTTATATTTAATATAAATATACCCGTACCAGATGCAGAATAAAAACAATCAGTAGAATTTAACTATACAAATGCACCTGTAACAGATTGCCAACAGATCAACAGCCTTTCTCCACTTTATACTACTTATATTTCTCTCTCTCTCTCTCTCTCTCTCTCTCTCTCTATCTAATTACCCAAGTAATAATAAGTTTTGTACTGTTAACTGATCGGGGTGGGGGGGGAAGAGTCCACTTGGGCCCCCACCTGGATCTGCCACAGTTACATACCCTGTGCAACAATGCCCCTCAAACTGGCTTTATTCCTGTTTATTGAGAAAGGATTTTTACTGTATTTTCAGGCGGCAAGTTTACAGTCATGGCATGCGAGGAAATCGATACTACGATATATACAGAATATAGTATTTGATAATTTCTTCACAGTCGATAAACCAGAATATAAACAACAAATACAAGAATTATTGTTTAATTTAATCTGTGATGAACAATTAGAGGTAAGCAGATACTCTATGTTATCACTTTAATGGGCGTCCTTAGGGAAGGAATTCCCAAAAGGCATCGTTTGTAAAAACTTTGTTCCACGTGACTTATTGATGGTAAGAGAACTGTATTTCGACGTATCAAGATTAAATTCCATTTTAACGACAAAACTAATATTTGTCAACGCACCAGTCCTTATTGAATGTACAGGAAAACAATATCAGAAGCCCATCTTTTCCCGATAAGATCGCAACATCAATGTGGATTTAAATTGACAAATAATTCGTGTTTTGAATGTTGAAGATATTGAGTTAGAGACTTGCCTACTTTAACGACACAAATTAACGGTTATCAACATACCAGTTCGTAAGGTAAACAATCAGGACACGTGGGACCAACTCCTCTATGATGTGATCTGTAAATTTTGCTCCCTTATCTCTAGAGAGGACGCCTATTATCAAATGATATAGGCTCAGCAAAAAAATGCAGAGTGTCAGAGGGGTTTGCAGGAGGATAAAAAGAGGAAAGAGGGTCTGGGATTAGAGGCAAACAGAGGTTTTATATTATCACTTTAATTGATGGCAATATGAAATCATATGTCGAGTTTGCGAAAATATTTATGGAAGTCCAAGATCATACTAAACTTGGTTTTATAACTGTTTAGTTTCTCTAGAAACAGTTATAACCCCAACACTCATTATGTAATCTAGACAGACTCTTTGAACTACACAACAGTAGAAACCCAATGGTTTTCTATCATTCTCAATAGATTTGAACAGTTTTCCAACATCGGTTTCAAACGTTAAATACAGAAACTCCTGCTAAAACAACACGACCAAATGTCAGGAAAAGAGGGGCCAGTGACAAAAAGATAGCCGAGTACCATTCATTATGAAATTCTTTGTATTAAAGCAATGAATTTCGGTATTTTTTTTTTATGATTGACGTTTTAAATGCTGGATAGTATAATGTTTTTATTGATGTGTTATTAGAAATAATGTAATGTTTTTATTGATGTGTTATTAGGTTAGAGAAATAATGTAATATTTTTATTGATGTGTTATTAGGTTAGAGAAATGGCATCTGTAACATTAAGTGGTTTATTACACTGTGGATTCCTTCAACTAGATCAAGATATGATGGTAAATATACTGTACTTTAATTACTCTTTCTATACGTTCATTAAACAAAGTAAAAAATTTTGAAGTACCCACCCATTTTATGGCCCTCACCCTGCTAGTCTGAGCAGGGGTTGGTTGGCCGACCGAATGCTCGTTGGATCAGAAGGTGTGTCATTGAGTCAACTGGCATGGTTTCGATTCCCCGGTTAAACGTGACAAGGAGTAGGGTCGCCTGTTCAACCTCGTGGGTTTGCTCTGGTCCCCCAGTTTCCTCCCACTAAAGTCCCCTACACACAAGCAAATTATTGAAATAAATTCCACACTTTTCTATTCACTTTAAATGAATGCGAGAAACCGGCAAAATGCCGACCCCAAACCCATATCCCAAGAAGTAGAGTTGCCTGCACATCACTGCTAATTATGCGCAACCTTCATATATTAAAATAAAATTGTATCATATGCTAGTCCCAAAATATCCTACTTTGGGTTGAGGGGATGTTAAACCCCCATCTTTCTTTTGTGTCTGTGTTCATGTTTTGTCATCTAATTTTAGGGTCATTTTGAATGTTAAACCCCATCTCTCTTTTGTATATGTGTTTATGTTTTTGTCATCTAATTTTAGGGTCATTTTGAACAGTTAAGAAGAATTAAAGTTAAGAAACGTAAATTAACACAAGCGTTGCCGTTAGATACGCTAATAAAACGCCATGCCGGTGTTCTTGGACTCAGTGCCTGTGTACAGGCGTATCCCTACGATGTTCCAGAATTTGTTCCACAGATTCTTATGGATTTATCTGTTCATGTTAATGATCCTCAACCAATCCAGGTAGGAAATATTTCTGTGAATATCTTATTAAAATCTTTTTGAAAAATCTAAATATATTTTTGGTCATAAATTGAAGAAACTATTTTAAATTATAAAATTAGTACGAACATAAAAGAATGCAGTAATTCGGTGTTGCTGTGATTTAGATGAAGTATTGAGGAAATAGTTTTAGCATTGTAGATGGTCTACTGTCTATGTAAGTCATGGGTTTCACCTCAGGCTTGTATGTGACAAGGAATTAGTTTTCTGAGGGTTATCATGTTTCTTCCACTGCTAAAAGGGGGATGGCTGAGCTTGTGGGTGTTGTATCATAACGTCTGTCTTTGAGTCAGCTGGCATGGTTTCTATTCCCCGCCCGGTTGTACATGACAAGGAGTAGGGTCGTCTATCCAACCTCGTGGGTTTTCTCCGGGTCTCGGGTTTCCTCCCACTGCTAAAGACCCCTAGCCCTCAAGCAATCCAGGTATATTTTTGATAGATAAGCTTTAGCCATGAATTGTAGAAACTATTTTAAAATATAATATTAGTACTAACATAAAATTAACGCAGGACTTGTTAGTGACAGGATGGAAGACATTGAGTAAATCTAGATATTAAACTACCGGTTTTGTGTACCGTAAATGTTCTGCTGTCTATGTAAGTCATGGGTTTCACCTCACGCCTGTATGTGACAAAGAATTAGTTTTCTGAGGTTTATTATGTTTTCTCCCACTGCTAATAACTGCTGTACTAGGGTTAGGGCAAGGCATGTCAATAGTGAAATGATTCTGATTCCAGCTAACAGTAAAGTTTTAGTTTTCTGATTCCAGCTAACAGTAAAGTTGTTCTGATTCCAGCTAATAGTGAAGTTGTTCTGATTCCAGCTAAAAGTAAGGTTGTTCTGATTCCAGCTAATAGTGAAGTTGTTCTGATTCCAGCTAACAGTAAAGTTGTTAGTTTTATGATTCTAGCTAACAGTAAAGACTGAATTTGTTATATTTTTTATTCCAGCTAACCGTGAAGAAGACGTTATCTGATTTTAGACGAACACATCATGATAATTGGTTAGATCATAAACAGATGTTTACTGATGATCAGTTGGTTGTTTTAACAGATTTATTAATATCACCTAATTATTATGCATGATCTACTACTTGCTGGTTCAAGGGTAATGGTAAGTATTGTACCTATTACATATAGTCATTCGGATGGGACAAAAACTGAGGTCTGGTGTAATTATTATGCATTATCTTCTACCTGCTGATTCAAGGGTAGTGGTATGTATTGTGCTTATTACATTTAGTTGTTCGGATGGGACGAAAAACCGAGGTCCTGTGTACACATTGGTGTGTACATAAAAAAACCTGTGGCAGTTGGAATTCGATATAAGAGTAGGTTGTAACGCAGCTGTCCGGGCAAAATTGCCCTCATAGCACACTGTATGGTTATCACATCTTCATTAGCCCAGTTCGGAGTAAAACAGTAGGACATTAAACACCATTTCATTTCATTTCGACCTCTTGTCAGTCGGTGTAGAACAGTAGTCTAAACCCCATTTCATTTCATTTTATTTCATTTTTTTTACCTGATATCTTCCCTAATACTAATATATGTAAAAAAAATGGGTGTGCCGCAACGAGATAGTACTGGTAGTTGAGCATTAGGACTGTCATCTCTCAACTAGAATGGTTTAAAGCGTGCGCTGTAGATCATCAGGTCTGTCATTGAGTCAGGTGGTTTGGTTTTGATTACACGGAGTAAGGTCGCCTGTCCAACCTCATGTGTTTTCTCCGGGTCCTCCGGTTTCCTCCCACCGCTAAAGACCCCTACATGCACTCCGAGAAAGTTCCTTGGGATTTTCCCAGCCTTTTGTTTGCTTTTGACTGTGGTGCAGAAAAATGGGGTGTAACATCCAGTCGGCACAAACCTCATGGGTTTTCTCCGGGTCCTCCAGTTTCCTCACGCAGCTAAAAGACCCTTATGTGTAAGCAAATTATTGAAATAAAATTGAACCATATGTTAGTCCCAAAATGACCTAGTTTATGTCAAGTGGATGTTAAACACCATCTCTCTATCTGTCTCTCTTACTCCACTCAGCCAATACATGCTGGTAACATGTGTAGATAAGGGCTGTGGGTGTGTTTTTATTTTTGTCTGTAATCAGTCAGTATTAGGAGAGCTATCAATAGAAGGATGGTATAATAAGGTATTATCAGACAGCGATTATCTTATTACATCATACATCACTTCAGATAATAACCAGATAATATTAACTATTATCAGCTAAAAAAAATAACTGTTATCATGTAACTTTTATCATGTATTTAAGCACTGAGATGACATATAGCACTGAGATGACATATAACATGCACAGTTCTATTCTTAAAGGGAGTGTCTGCCATCGGGTTGGTACATGTACCCAAAATAAATGATCAGAGGCAGGTTTTGATTAAAACACCGAGTCAATACCAAAGCAGTGCTATCATGTTGCTCGATATTCACTTGATATTCAGTCTTGTCAAACCATCGCGATCTCAGCATTGTAGTTAGCTGTCCGAGGCAATGCAAACATGTTACTCGATATTCACTCAGTAAATTATGGAACGCCATACTTTCAATGGCCTACACCACATGAACTTGAAGATCTGACCAGCGCGATAGGTCACGTCAGAGGTCATACGAGCGGCTTTTAACCCTATGACGTCAGACATTTGATTAACCAATCAGCATTGATGTTACTAGTGGATTACCCACAGTTCCAAGCAAAACACGCCTAAAGCTCGCCATAACAGACCGTTTCATTGGGTAATACCTCACACTATTCAGAACACGTCAATGATAACACCTCTTCCAGATCCTAGTGTAGTAAAGACAAGTGAAACGAAATTTTGAACTATAAAAACGAAACGAAGTAGGATCTGTGTTGTAATCAGATTGATATAATACCAGCCCACCAAGGCTTTAAATATGGCTTGTGGAAAAAATTTCAACAAACTGATGTGTCGATATTTCATTTCATTTTTATTTCATTTTCATTTCGTTTCATTTTTATTTCCATTTTAATTTCATTCCATTTCATTTTTATTTTTATTTCCATTTTCTTTGCATTTTCATTTTCATTTCATTTTCATTTTCATTTTTCTATTCAATTACTACTTATTACTGAGCAATGTTTCAGCTGTGATTCTCTACTCTTATCAGTCCTGTGTATTCCCGATTGAATTACTAAATGCCATTGAAACAGTTTATAATAATTAATGTTAATTTGTATTATTTCAGATTATGCTGAAGATACATGTAGAGCTGTATTTATCTGCTTTATCATCTTCCATGTGTGTTGTAGATCAATTGACATGCTTACCTTATGCATCTGACGCCATTCTCATTTAACCCCAGAACTCCCAGTTATAAGTGATGCCTTTTAGAATACTACCTGTGATGACGATGACTTTTAGAATACTACCTGTGATGGCGATGACTTTTAGAATACTATTTGTGATGGCGATTACTTTTAGAATTCTACCTGTGATGACGATGACTTATAGAGTACTACCTGTGATGGCGATTACTTTTAGAATACTACCTGTGATGGCGATTACTTTTAGAATTCTACCTGTGATGGTGATGACTTTTAGAATACTACCTTTGACAGCGATGACTTTTAGAATTCTACCTATAATGGCGATGACTTTTAGAATACTATTTGTGATGGCGATTACTTTTAGAATTCTACCTGTGATGGTGATGACTTTTAGAAGACTACCTTTGAAGGCGATGACTTTTAGAACACTAACTGTGATGGCAATTACTTTTAGAATACTATTTGTGACGGCGATGACTTTTAGAAGACTACCTGTCTACCTGTGATGGCGATAACTTTTAGAATACCATGATACCTAGTGCCATGGATCTAGTCGAAGTTGCTTCGAGTATGTCAAATAAATGAAAAAGACAAAACTCTTTTATCAAATTGTGGTAAAGTACTTTGAGTTGAAATGTTTTGTACCATAAACTAGAAGATGTGTATGAAACTTGACTAAATCATTTGTCATAGATAATCAGCCATTAAAGACGCTGGTCGCCATTTGAGGGATTTTGAATGTTGACTGTTTAAAAGGAATATCAGTTCAAAATGGTTCAATACCTTTCATTATTTACAAAGTTATAATAATGAATAAAATTTGGCATCGTATTGGAACCGCTGCAGATGAAAAAAAAAAAAAATATGTCATCGCCACCTCCACTATTAGTGTGGAGTAAAATATATCTATGGATATCTGTTTAATCCAGTTGAAACCACATCTTGGAGAATATCTGCCATTGATATTTTTATTTTGTTTTCTTAATTGGAACAGCATTACATGTAGGTAAGATTCGTTAAAGAGCTAACAGTTCTCGCTATAATAGTTAAAATAAAGATAATGAAAAGATAATATAATGAAAATTTCAGTCAAATTACTTCACTCGGAGTATCTCTTTAATCCAATTGAATCCAAGCCTTGAAGAATATCTGCCAATGATATTTTGCGTTTGTTTTCTTTATTGAAACGGCATTAGGTACGATTAGATAAAGAGCTGACAGTTCTCGCTATAATATTTAAAAAAATAGATAATTAAAAGATATGCTGAAAATTCCAGTCAAATTGCTTCACTCTGATCCAAGATATCTGCAATACAATTAAAGTGACATGTAGGTACGATTAGATAAAGAGCTGAAAGTTCTCGCTATAAAATTTAAAAAATAGATAATTAAAAGGTAATATGCTGAAAATTTCAATCAAATTACTTCACTCTGAGCTTAGATAGCGACGATACAATTATAGCCTAGCCTCGATTGCCATTACTACTATTGTTACAATAATAAACAAAGTCTCGATTAGCCATTTTTACGGTAACCGCATCGACCACAAAAGTATTTAAATCTACTTATATCGCAGCCATCTGATGGCATCGAGAGTTGATTATGGTCTTGATAAGTTAATTAATGTCTAATTAATAATTTAAATAACATTTAAGGCTTTAAAAAGAACCTGCAATAGGCAGATTTAGCTCTTGCATAATGCCTGTTTAAATGTTAAAAAAGTCAATTTTGAGTTCATTTTAGCAGGCATTAAGTCGAGAAAAATTCTATATTGTCCAAATAATGACAATCAGCCACTTTAATGGTCAAATAGTTTTATAAGATACTGTTAGAAGAACAAATAACCCCTATTGTTATTTCGCGCTTGTTTACAAAAATAAAATGAAATGCGGTTTAACATCCTACTGTTCTTTTTTGACTGGGCTGATGAACCTCCAGGTTAGCGAGCCAACATCTTACTGACCGAACCACCATGGCATCTGTGCTTGTATCAAATGCATGCATACTGTTTAATTGTTAATGTAATTAATTTGTAGTTAGATCTAATTAATAGGCTTTTAATCATAGTCAATGTAAATATGTTCTGACTGAAAATGAATTCAATATGTATTTTATTTTTTGTCTATTTTTTTATTTTATTTTATACTAGATCTGAAACTAAATGTATGCTTATTCTTCCCATACGGTCACTTCTTCTCATTTGGTGGAAGTTCACATGGCAAAAAAATAAAAATGTTATAGCAGAGCTTTATATTAATAAAAGCCATTCCATATTTTCATCTTTTGCTCAGTGGTAAAATCAAAATAGCATTGTTGGTAATCATACACTGATTGTTGATAATTATACACTGATTGTCGATAATCATACACTGATTGTTGGTAATCATACACTGGTTGTTAATAATTATACACTGATTGTTGATAATCATACACTGGTTGTTGGTAATTATACACTGATTGTTGATAATCATACATTGATTGTTGATAATTATACACTGGTTGTTGATAATCATGCACTGGTTGTTGATAATCATGCACTGGTTGTTAATAATCATGCACTGGTTGTTAATAATTAAACACTGATTGTTGATAATCATACAGTGATTGTTGAAAATCATACACTGGTTGTTAATAATCTATAATGAAAATCTTTTAAAACAAATGTTTGGAGCTTAATTTTTTTAAAAAAATTTTGAATGTGATATTGAATTATATGGAGATCTCTTTACTTTCATGTGTGATTCTCTTTGGGGTCCAGAATCCAGAATCTTGGACCTTTTTTTTTAATTTAAAAATTTAATTTTCATGTGTATGTATTTTGACTATTTCTGGTGTTTTATTTCTTCTGCTTATTAAAATAAAATTTATTCCACTAAAATTTTGAATAAATTACTCCACTAAAATAGAGTTATATTACCAAAAAGAGCCATTATTATTATCGCTCTGCTGATGCCAAAACAAAAATTCAAAGCTCCGATTTAAGAAAAATACATTCAAGACAGAGAAGTTGATCTTGAAAAATAACTTCCAACATTAATTTTTTTTTTATAAAATATTTAATTAATTAAAAAGGAGTTTGTGTGGAGTAAAATCTTATTGTTGTTAATGTAATGAGTTAAATTCAGTATGAATTATTGTATATAAATTTCTGTATAAACTGTGTAAATGGTTTTAGTCAACAAAATATGGTCATTGACCTGAACAGATACCAGATGGTTTTTGAAAACGAAAGTAGTTTTTTTGCACCCAGTACTTCATGACTATGGTAACCATTATTCTGTACTGGCCGTACAATTGTATAGTTACATAGAGAAGGTTAATCGTAGCCATGTCTGAAAATTGGGTTTTGAAAATAAAAGCTCTTTTTCCGGCGTGCAAAATGACCGATGGGTCAGATCTAGTTACGGCCATTTTCCATAGCCCTAGGTCTTGACCGGTATATACGGCCGACGTGGAACCCATAGTATGGTTGTGTTGGATTTACACAGTGGACTTGTCAGTATATCAGAGGTTTGGGGATGGCCGGGGTCAACTCCATGATTGTATCCCCCCCCCCCCAATATTCAAGTAGTGGACCCAATCCCAGTACATTCTGCACACAGAGACCCATCTACTTCATTCTTCGAGAATAGATCTCTGTCCTTAATGACCGCCATGTTTTAATACATTTCTACTCTGTTTCTCATCTGTCATACAGTATGATACACACACAGACTAAATAAAATTTCTCAATTTCATTAAATGGAAGCAGAATAAATTCTCAACAAGATTTTCGAAGTATACTTAGTGTTTTTGACTAAAATCGTCGATTTAGGATTTAAAATGTCGGTCAACTAGCTTAGTGTCTGTTCTCAAGCGAAGCAAACTGGGGACCGACGGCCTGAGTATTGGCCGAGTACTCAGAATTACGAGATAGGAAAACATTTAGAATATGTCAAAGCACATAAAATAAACTTTTTGTTCAAATAAAATTAAATATAAATTAGCCACATTAAAATACAGACCCACATTCACACCATCTTGTCGGGCTATTAGGCAGCTTGTACAAGGAAGTTAACAGCCATAGCATCAAATTTCAAAACATTTTTTTTTTATAATTTCACTCTTTGATTGGACCCCCGCCCTTCTCTCTGTATACCACTGCAGTAATTAATGAATTTGATAACTAACAATAACTAGGCATTTCTGATAATGTAAACATAAATTTTCTGTCGGCATAAAATCTGAAATTCGATAGGGTTTTCTGTTGACAAAATAAAACCCAGAGTGTCGACATGTGATTTTTAATTGTGGTATGAATTCCTCTGCTTAAATAACGATAAGAGTTATGCCCCTTTATTTTCGGTAAAATGTCCGACAAGAAAAAGTTTGAAATCCCATCACTGGTGTAAAAACAACACAACCTGAAAGAAATTGAGAAATGGAAGACTATTTGCCTCTTGTATGTCCTGTTAATTATTATTGATATATTGGTGGGGAATTTATACTTACGTTTATGTATAATATATATGTAAAATATTGAATTGTGGATTGTCAATTTAGAAAATAAATTAACTTTTACTTTTACTGTTTTCTTTATTTTGTGACAATCTGATTTAAAGCACAGATCCTATTTTGTTTCGTTTTTATAGTTCAAAATTTAGTTTTACTTGTTTTTACTACACTAGGATCTGGAAGAGTAGGCGTTCTTATTTAGGAATTAGCCAATGAAACGGTCTGTTACGGCGACTTCTTGGCGTTTTCTTCGCGGAACTGTGGGTAAACCCCTATAAACGCCAATGACGTCATAGTGTCAAAAGCCGTTCGTTTGACCGCTAACGTGATCTCCCACTATAACTTGTCAGCTCTTCATGTAGTGTAGTCCATTTAAAGTATATAAAAAAAACGAAATATAGATCTGGGGCCTGTTTCACGAAATTTTAACTAAAGATAAAATCCAAATTTTAGTAGATATCTCAATTTTGATTGGCTAAGCACTAAAATCAATCTAATATTATCCAATCAAATTACTAAAATTTGGATTTTATCTTAGTTAAAATTTTGTGAAACAGGCCCCTGTATTTTAATCAGAATGATTTTGTGACTACTGCACCTTGGTTGACCTATTTACGCCACAATGGCCACATCAGTTTGGTTTTCTGTTCTTCATGCTACAAAAAAACGAGGTCTCATGTATACATTGGGGTGCACGTAAAAGATCCCTTGGCAGTTGGAATTCAATGTAAGAGTAGGTCAAAGTGCCGCTGCCCGGGCAAAATTTTCCTTATAGCATATGCCCGTCTTCATTAGCGCAGTATAGGAGCAGGACATTAAACCCCATTTCATTTCAGGTCATAGTGCCGCTGCCCGGGCAAAATTTTTTCATAGAACACTGTATAGCATATGCCCGTCTTCATTAGCCCAGTATAGGAATAGGACGTTAAACCCCATTACATTTCATGGTCTTGATAAATAGCCACTTAAATCACGTGAAAAATGTTATGTTTAAAATTTCAAATGGCTGAATGGTTATGCCCATATTTTTAGCCAGGCTAGTAAAGAAAAGTAGGTTGTTAAACCCAAATTCAGTTCATTTCACTCAGCGGGGGTTCGGTGGCCGAATGATTAAAACAAGCGCGTTGCATCATAAGGTCTGTCATTGAGTCAACTGGCGTGGTTTCGATTCCCCACTTGTACATGACAAGGAGTAGGGTCGTCTGTCCAACCTCCTGGGTTTTCTCTGGGTCCTACGGTTTTCTCCCACTGCTAAAGATCCCTACATGCAAGTAAATTATTGAAATAAAATTGAACCGTGTGTTAGTCCTGAAATGACCTAGTTTGTGTCGAGTGGATGTAACCCCCCTATCTCTCTCTCTCCCTCTCTCTCTCCCCCCCCCCACACACACACACATTAGAACCATTGACTCCTTGGAAGCATTTAAATCTCAACTAAAGCCGTTCCTGTTTACAGAAGCCTTTCTATAGTTCAATAGAGAAACTTGAAAAGCGCAATAGAAACTTCTGTTTTATTATTATTAGCTATATAAATAGACGATTATTATTATTGTAGTAGGAGTAGGGTCGCGTGTCCAACCTCGTGGGTTTTCTCCCGGGTCCCCCGGTTTCTTCCCACTGCTAAAGACCCTGACGCGCAAGCGAATTATTGAACCTTACTAGTACGTCAGTTCCGAAGTTTGTGTCGCGTGGACTTTAACCACACACCACCCCACCCCCACCTCTCTCTCTCTCTCTCTCTCTCTCCCTCCTTTGCTTCTATTTGTCTTAATTTTATTTTATGCTGAATAAGTTCTGGGAAATTGGAAGATTTAATATCCACCCACACTCTAACCCACCCGTTATACAATATATCATTATTTTACAAGATAATGGCGGCGCCTTTATTTTCTCTATTGATCATGTAAATGATACGATGACATTTATTCAATACTTTTTTTTATATAATAAATGTACAGTTGTCAGATTTACAAGAAAATCTATATCGAAATGTACAGGCATAAAGAAAATATGTACACTATATATCATTGTCAACGTCTATACAGTGAAACCCCGCTCGGTGAATGTTGTGGGAAGGGGGGGGGGGTCTGAAATGCCCGGAAAAAAAATTTCGGTTTGCTGACGACGCCCCCCACCCCCACCAACAATTGAAAAATTTGACGGTCGTAAACGGGCTTTCTTGCTATTCCAGCCAGTGAATACAGCAACTTCAAAGTGCTCTAATATAGCCTAATTAAGATGGCCGACTCGAATTCCAATCAACCAATCAATTAATCGTTTACAGTCCACGGAGAGGGGTTCATCGGGAGAAAATCTCGTAAAATTTAACTGCCGTAAACGCGTTGTCCTGCTTTTCCAGTCCGTGAATAAAGCAACTTAATGTGGTCAAATATAGCCTACCTTAGGTGGCTGACCTGAATCCCTAACAATCAATCAATCGTAGCGGGAATGGGGGCTGGAATAGCGGTAACTTCAAGGTTTCCAATCGTTTTGCAACCGAAATCCCACTCTATGCCGATTTCAAGTCCAACCATCCAATCAGACCGTTGGAGTTGCATTCACAATTAATAATCGATGCCCGAAAAATGTCGCACAAAGTAGAGTTGCTCCAGAAAAAATGTTTTAATCCATAGTCAATTCAGTAAAATTGTGGCATTCAATTTAAAAAAAAAGGTAAAATTAGTGTTTTATTAGATTTCGGGCACTTTATTTTGCCAACTAGATGAAATAATAATTTTTGTTTTCACTTTACCCGTCTGCCCGAAAAGTCACCTTGCCCGAAAGTTAGGGGTCAGCTGCCCTCCTGCCCCACTGTCTCATACGCCTATGGCCCCGCTTTTAAGACATGGCCCAGAGTTAACAGAATATAGGCTCTTTAAAACTGTTGTTTGTTTATACGCCCACATTATACGCCCTCTAGAGGTCACAATTATTATCCGATTCAAAAATAAACCTTTCGCCCCTCGTCCGCAAATAGTGTAAAAGTATGTAATACCAAGATTATGGACTCCTTAATATATAGAAGTCACAGTTTTTATCCGATTTTGATGAAACTTAAAATATATCTTTATATCCCAAATATCTCAGTCCATTTCGATATTCGCGCATTTCAAACCATAGCTTCCTGGATTATGGACCCTGATTGTACGAAAAATCGCTTTTTTAATCTAGCTCGTTCTCTATCCATCTCTTGCAAAATGTGGACGTATCTTGCCTGGCAACCGCTGGTTTAATGTATCAAATACATCAATAAGAAGCTATGTGCAAATTTGTGTGTTTCTTGATGAAAGATATTTCCCATTAACAGTGATTTAGAGTTTAGTAAATTCTTAAGTCTGATAATGCCCTGTGAATTCGGGGGCAGGTGTGGGACGGCTATAATGTGATCTTAATACTGGGGCTAACTTAAAACTGAGTTGGAATTCCAGGATACAGAGTTGATATATTATAAGACATTGTACTCAATACAACGCCCAGTGCATCTTAGTAATGAACGATTTTATGGACTGGCTAACATTCTTAGATTGACTGATTCAGATTCCTTGAAAATGTTACTTAAAGAGCTAAACAGCTAATATTTGGGACCTAGAAATTGACACAAATGGGTCGCAACGCATATAATAATGTAATATGAATGTATATAAACTGATTTACATTCAATTATATCGTTTTTACTCTGATTTCAAATCAGTTATCTTCGGCGAAGCGAAAACGCCAGAAGTTTCAATCGAATGGCAACCCCTAGCTTCTGGTTACTCCAGTCTACACCAAATGTTTATTTTGTCTTAAATATTGGATATCAGAAGTTCATCTTTTCCCGGTTGATTTAAATTGACAAATAATTCGTGTTTTCAATGTCAGAAACTTTGGATGATATTGAGTTAGAGACTTAGCTACTTTAAAACTATTCCGAAATGAAGTGGGGTTTAACGTCCCATACTGTTCTCCTCCGAACTGGGCTAATGAAGACGGGCATACGCCAAACAGTGTGCTCTGAGGGAAATTTAGCCCGGACAGCGGCACTACGGCCTACTCTTATATCGAATTCCAACTGTCAAGGGATCTTTTACGTGCACGCCAATGTGTACACGGGACCTCGGTTTTTCGTCCCATCCGAACGACTAGACAGCTGTCCTTGTCAGACCCTCCGTCCTGCATCACTGACAAGGGAGAACCACGCCGGAAAATCTTGATGAACGTTCTCGGCCAATGCTGGGATCGAACACCCGACCTCCAAGCTAGCGAGCCAGCGTCTTACCCACTTAGCCACCGTGATCCCCCACACACATTTGAAGTAGCTGTCCTTGTCTTGCATCACTGACAAATGGGACCCACACCGGAAAATCTGGATGAACTTTCTCGGCCAATGCAGGGATCGCACACCCGGCCTCTAGCCTAGCGAGCCAGCGTCTTACCCACTTAGCCACCGTGATAGAAAAGGGCAAAAAACAAAACAAAACAAGCCCCCCCCCCCCAAAAAAAAAAAAAAAAAAAAAAAAAAAACAAACAAAACAAACCAAACCTATTTCGAAATTTAAACAGTGGAGAATAAACCAAGTCATATAAGAGAAAGACAAATCTGAATCTTTAAAGAACCGAATCAATAATCTTAAACAAAGAGAAACCGGTTAATTAGTTCCAGCATGTTTAAACCCGTTTTCTTCACTCGTCTGTTTGTTTAAGAACTGCTGTGAAAATATCAAAGTCTGTGCCAATAGTGTGATAATAAGGAAGATGGAGAAACGTACGAGTTTTTTAATATCCAAAAACGTGTCGACGTGCCCAAAAGATTATCATTGGGATTTCAATTGTGATAGAGAAAACTAAAACCCCAAATAAAAACAAACAAACGCATTTGGACAATTCAAAAAGTCTCATTTTTGGAATTATATTCTATTTTTGGTACGGTGGATATAAATCAATAACATGGCTGCCGAATATAGAAATGTTATGATCCGATATAGACCTGCGTGATTATTTTTGTATTTGTAAGCCAGTGTTAACAATGATTAACTTTAAGATTAAAAGACTTAATGAATACAGAAGATATTTTTGTGTTTGTAAGCGAGTGTTAACAACGAATAACTGTAAGATTAAGAGACTTGAATATACATTAGAAGAAAATAAAAGTATGGTTCTATTCTTTGGAACTTTTAAATAGAAAAAAGGTCTAAAAGCACAGTCTTTAACTCAATATCATCCACAATCTTTGACATTGCAAACACGACTTATAAGTCAATTTAAATCAACATTTATGTTGTTATTTTACCATGAGAAGTTAGGCTTCTGATATCCAATTTTTAAGACAAAATGAAAATGTTAAAATTCGCATAAGCTAATACTTTCGAGTGCCAGTTGCATGAAGCGAGTCGATGAACGAGGAAAATATTACCGGTGTAGACTGGAATAACCAGACACCAAAGACTGCCATTCAATCCAGACTCTTCGCGTATTTCCCCGAACATAACGGATTCGAGATTACAGTAAAACAGAAACGATTGAATGTAAATCAGTTTATATACATTCATATTACATTATTATATACGTTGTACACATTTGTGTCCATTTCTAGGTGCCAAAGAATAGCGATTAGGCTCCTTTTATGTAAAATGATATATATATTCAATTTAAGAAAAAAAATATAATTTTAATCAATTATGTTCGGTGAAATACGTGAACAGTCCAAATTGATTGACAGTCGTTTACGCCTGCTTGGTCTATTCTTCACTTTGTTTATATTATATAATTTTTCAATTTTTCCGCTTTGAATCAGCTATTACTAATTACTTCCGCATTGTCTTGTAAGATATGTTTTTCTTTGTTCATTACAAAGCATAGAATGCACGACTCGTGTACTGATTTTAAAATGTTTATGTCTTAAATATTGGATATTCGGGTCTAATGTTTTAACGGCAAGATAAAAGCATCAATGTTAACTGAAACGGGCCACTATTGAATTCTAATTTATGTTTTTAATTTCGACTATTATCAATCTGATTAAAACACAGATCTATATTTCGTTTCGTTTTTTTATACTTTCGATGGCCTACACTAGATGAAGATCTGACAAGTCATAGCGATAGGTCACGTCAGGGGTCAAAAGACCGACTGATGACCTTATGACGTCAGACATTTGATTAACCAATCAGCATTGATGTTACTAGTGGATTACCCACAGTTCCGTCAAAAACACGCCTAAAGCTCGCCTAACAGACCGTTTCATTGGCTTATTCCTGACACCATTCAGAACACGAGATAAATAACAACTCTTCCAGATCCAAGTGTAGTAAAGACAAGTAAAACGAAATTTTGAACTATAAAAACGAAACGAAATAGGATCTGTGTTTTAACCAGATTGGACTATTATGGACATATTGAGTTGGACGTTCGGTTGTTTAAATTTGTCCCCAATTATAAAGACACACAATTCTAAAAAAAGAGAAAACATTGGCAGAAACAATTGCTGGGAGCAGGCACCGAACATGACTTTGCAACAAGATTGCTCACCACCAGGCCCCATTTATCGATAAGCTTCTTATATGGCTAAATGAACAATTCGTACTTCTACAGCTACACAAGAGGGAAATTGGGTTTAACGTCCACTAGACACAGACTACGTCACTTCGGGGCGTCATTTTTATAATTCGAGGAAACCGGAACACTTCGAGAAAACCCACGGGATTGTGCAGGCTATCGTACTCCTTGTCACGTTCCAGCTTGGAGTCGAAACCACACCACTTGACTCATTGACCACTCGACAACGCCCCCACCCCCCTCATGCCCACATAAGATATTGCGGGAGAAACACAATAGGCAACTGCACTATACAGAATCGCAAAGATGCAGGATCTCTTAGAGAGAGAATAGTATATGCTGATTGAGTGGATCTGGGGTTGAGAATTTTAGCCTGCAATGTGCGTTACTAAATGTAAAAATAATAAAAACATTAAATCCCTAAAAAATTCACTTAATTCACCAGCCATTGTTCATTGAAATGTTAATTCTCGAATTAAAATTTTATTTTGAAAAAAGAAAATAAATAAGAATAAAAAAAAACACGAACACGCATGTCCGTATCTTTGGAAATGATCTGGTTTTTACGTATAGTCCTCAATGTCACAAACTCAGCGCCGGATTGACACGACAGGTCCAGGGTCCTCCGATAAAGGTGTATAACATATTTGGCAATGTCCCAAACCTTTCTTACGTGCACTTGAGTCTTAAACATCTGTCATCATCCCCGGCTTTGCATAATGGTCTTTCTTCTTCCTCTAGTCGCGAGGGTGGTGGGGTTGAGAGAAGCCTCACATGTTCCTGAAGCAACGACTGCGAGTTTTTTGTACATCTGGACGTTGCTAGATTACTTTACAATTCCCGAACTTATAGCTACGTTATCTGCAGACACGCGATCACTGGCGTCCAATCAGAGGTTGTGACATAGCGACCTCCACGAAAACCTTGCCATTGAACGAACCTTAGACATTGCAACTCGATTATCTGATAGACTCTCAAGCTGGGTGAATACCCAATTGAAATTAGTGCTGACATATGCGGGGTATTACGTTAAGGCCTTGATTAAATGTACGTAGTTAAAGCGAGATCAAGCCTTCTATTCGACACTGCACAATCTCCACTACACCAAACATGCTGCCAATATTGTATTCTAAACATTGATGTAAAGACATCTCCACTACACCAAACATGATGCCAATATTGTATTCTAAACATTGATGTAAAGACATCTCCACTACACCAAACATGATGCCAATATTGTATTCTAAACATTGATGTAAAGATATTATTTAGATTATATCCTGTTTGTCTCATAACCGCAACCACCTGCTTAGCGCAATATAACCCGGTTGGCGCTGATGAGCCATTAAACACTATCTCACTATTTCAGTTATTCAAATGGTTGATGTTACTGACCTCTTGGTCATAAAGACGAAGCTATCCAAATCTAGAAAGAGTTATATGGGACAACAATCACTGGTTTATTACACGATGGTACAACATATATATAACTGTTTTAGTTTTGTTATTTTCCAATCGCGTCTTACCAGTTGTAGTGGGAGGTCGCGTCAGGGGTCATACGAGCGGATTTTGGCCCTATGACGTCAGACATTGATTAATCAATAGCGTTGACGTTTCTAGTGGTTTACCCACAGTTCCGTCCAGAGCACACTAAGAACTCACCGTAACAGACCCGTTTCATTGGCTAATTCCTCACATCAACTAGAACGCCTGTTATGTAACAACTCTTCAAGATGCCAGTGTAGTGAAGACATGTAAAACGAAATTTTGAACTATAAATAACGAAATTTTGAACTATAAATAACGAAACGAAATAGGATCTGTGTTTTAATCAGATTGTTTCCAATCGCTAAACGCCACTAAAGGATTATAATAAGCTATCGAGGTAAAAATATAGACTACTGGCTATTCTAGTACACTGGGCATCAAAGTGTGCAGTAAACCCGTATCAATTAATGATTTTTTTAAATTCAGTTCCCGGGATTATGAGATATATATTATGAATCTACAATTTCGTCCGCGCTATGCTGATGATTTGGTATAGTCTATTTGTAAACAGTATTCTAATTGATCGATAAATTCGTGTCTCAATCAGACAGTTCTTTATAGCAAGCCCGTTTGTTTCGAATAAAGAAATCAGTCAACGTAGTTCTATTCAGTTCCCTGATTATGAGATGCATTTAAAAGTCCGTTCGCCTTATACTGATGATTTGGAATGGTCTCATTCTAAACTGAAATCTAATTCGTCGATAAACCTTTGTCCCTGATGGCAAAACAGTTTCGAATGCAGAAATCATTTGGTGATATACATTGCTTCCTAGAGGGTATTCACGTCACTTCCGGTACTGACCGCGTTCATGCCCTAGCGTCATGTTAACGCCATTTTATCGCTTCAGGTCATTCCTATTAAAACCACTATTAATTGCGCCGCCTGGACTCGGGATAATTACTGATGACAATAATTAATTCATTACACGCCATCCTCTGCTTCATCAACCAAGTCACCGTAAGCTGTAGGCTAATTAATATACACGTATCCATAACTCAGGCTTACCGGAAGTTAATTAATAAATAAAAATGGCCGTTGCATCTGGAAATTTTATATCACTATAACGACACTTGACGTAGAATGTCGTCCGATTTCACATAAGCTCTGTTTTCCATGCCTATATTTCCATTTCGATTGCATGGATATATTGTAATACTTCTCTCAGATTTACCGAAACTAGAAGTTCTACCCAAATACCCTAAACTTCTAGAGAAATCGTCTTCATTTTCGATAGCTGCCTCGTACGAACCACGCCGAACACTAAGTCTTGAGGATGTTCTACTTAGATAGTCCTCGGAACGAGATCGATATACACGCGTATCTTTGTCACGATGGCAGTTAGACACGGATTGACTCCGTCCATTTCTATTGTCATAAGGTGCCGATTGTAAACGGTAAATTTTGTCCTTTGGTGGTGGATGGATCTCGATATCGGAGCGCGATCTACTGCCCCTACCACCATCCCCGTCCCAACGTCTTTCAACGTAAAGTTTATCGTTAGAGGCCGTTGAGAAATAGTCATAATACGGATCACTATTAATACGGTGCTTACGTCTACGACCGTTTTCTGTCCAATCCGGTTGATGTTGGAGCTCCATACCGCGTCTGTAGTCGAAATCTTGGTCCGGTTCTAACTGTCGTCTGATACAACGTTCTAAATATTGACGTCGATCCAGACGATTCTCTGACCGCCAATCGGAAACGACGGGATCGAAAGGCCGTCGCGTTGGCGATTTACTCAATTGACGCCGTTGTTCTTCATTCCGCATTCTCTCAGCGATTAATCCGCTGCCAGAACTACCAACCGGGCTCAGCACATCGTCTAAAGATCTTGACGTCTGACGACCCATACACCTAGCAGACGGCTTATTCAAGATTATTCTGGCCGCCTGCTTGGCAGCAATCTTCGCCTTTACTCTCTTTCTGTCCCTGAAATACATAACAATAATCCTTCATTACTAAAACATGTTTCCTAAACTCAATGGCATGCATAGGCTTGTTGATACCCAAGATCAACTCATCGATTATGGAGCCCAGACCCCGACTTCACAAAGCATTCCCAGACATAATATTTCAAAACTAAAATATAGCCCTTTGTAAATAATTTGCTGTTTTAATATATCAAATACATCAATAAGAAACTATGTGCAAAGTTTTGAGTGTCTGGATCAAAGATATTTCTCATAAACAGTGATTGAAAGTTGAGTAAATTCTTAATTTAAAGGAGCTAAATCTCTAACTCGATATTGTCCATAATATTCGAGATTAAAAACAGGAAATGGAATTCAATATTGGTCAATTCCAATCAATATTGATGCTGTTATCTTGCTGTGAAAATATGGGATCGTAATATCCAAAATTTAAGACACAGTGAACATTTTAAAATAAATACACGATTCGTGTACCCTATGGATTCGGGCGCCATTTGTATGAACAAAGACAAACATATCCTACAATACAATGTGGAAGTAATTAGTAATGGCTGATTCACAAACGACAAAATAATAATTAAAAAACGTGTAGAATGGACTTAGGCCTAGTAGACGTAAAAGGTGGCTGTTTAATTTGGACTGTTTGGTATTTCATAGAACATAATTGATTAGTAATTACAATATTATTGTTTAATAATGAATATAAATCAGTTTATATACATTCATATTACATGTATACATTACCAATATGTGCTTTTAGACCCAATTTCATCTATTTTAAGGTTCAAGGGATTAGAGCCATACGCCCTTTATGTCTGAGAATGCTCTGTGAACTCGGGACCTTGGGCCTGTTTCACGAAATTTTAACCGAGATAAAATCCAAATTTTAGTAATTTGATTGGATAATATTAGGTTGATTTTAGTGCTTAGCCAATCAAAACTGAAGTATCTGGGGCCTGTTTCACGAAATTTTAACCGAGATAAAATCCAAATTTTAGTAATTTGATTGGATAATATTAGGTTGATTTTAGTGCTTAGCCAATCAAAACTGAAGTATCTACTAAAATTTGGATTTTATCTTTTGTAAAGACTTCAAGAAACAGGGTCCAGTATTCATGAATATGAGAAATATGTAAAAATAGATGAAATAAACATTTTTATACAAATTAAACATAAATCAGCCAGATTAATCAAATTCGGTGACCCAAATGAGATCTCCAGTCAAAAAAAAAATCTCTGATTGGATACCACCTCCCTAAATATAGGTGCTCGGGGGCGTCACCCCCTCTGCACCCCATTCTGAACGTCAGTGCCCTGAAGTCTTAGAAATAGGTAACTTATTTTGAATGTTAATGAGGCATCTCCATGGACACTAATACAGGCAGCTTAATTGCTACAGAGCTTTGAGTTCATTCGGTTACTAAAACTCGGATATCATGGTATTAATTGTAACTTGAGAATAATAATGGTGGTATTTAAAAGGCTGGGATCTACATGTTTGTTTTACAAAATGAATAATTACTGTTCTAGGAACTGCAGGTTCTAAGTGAGAGGGAGACAAATGTACAGCTCTGCGTCAAGGTTTTGAGTTTTTGCGCCCCCTCGCAAATGGCAAAAAATCATACGGTTTCAATGCGGTTTTCAACATTATAATCATAAGGCTCAACCACTGTCAAACATGCTACAATATTACTCTGCGGCACTGGGAGGACACCCTCATGGTTAGAACGTGCGCTGTATCGTAAGGCCTGTCATTGAGTTAACTGTCGTGGTTTCGATTCCCCGGTTGTACGTGACAAGGAGTAGGGTCGCATGTTCAACCTCGTGGGTTTTCTCCGGTTTCCTCCCACTGCTAAAGACCCCTACGCGAAAGCGAATAATTGAAATAAAATTCACCCGTTTATTAGTCCCGAAATGACCTAGTTTGTGTCGAGTGGACGTTAAAGTTCATCCAGAAGATTTTCCGGCGTGGTTTCCCCTTGTCAGTGATGCAGGGCGGAGGGTCTGTCAAGGACCGAGGTACCTTGTACACATTGGCGTGCAGTTGGAATTTGATATAAGAGTAGGCCGTAGGGTCGCTGTCCAGGCAAACTTTATCTCATAGCTCACTGTATGGCGCATGTCCGACTTTATTAGCCCATTCGGAGCAGAACAGTAGGACGTTAAACCCCATTTCATTTCATTTTTAATAGAATGATTAAAAGTGGCGTATCTATTCAGAGCAGAACAGTAGAGCGTTTAAACTCCATGTTATTTCGTTAAGAAAGAATAAAATGTAACCCGAGCATATAAATTTATTAGTTTAAGTTGCTGACGGATCATCAGTTTTCAGGCAAGATCACATCGTACATCATTATTAACTTCATGACTCTGTTAAAGTATTAACGAAACCATACCACACCACAAAATGCTATAGGTCAATCCACAATTTGCTTTTTGTTTTATTATTGTATAAAGGCGTAAAATGGTCGTATTAATTGTGTTACTGACAGCCGATCAATTTATAGGGCAAGCCATGTCATGTATCAATGTGTTTCAATTAAATTACATGATAGCGTATTGATCTCGGAGATCATACAAATTAAAGGTCCACCACCTCCACTGGTTCTTTGAAACAGTGAAAAGGATTTGTTGCCTCGACACTCGTATTGGTGGGTGTCGTACACCTGTAACTTCTGTTCAGAGCTAATGCTTGCTTGATACGTGATGGCAGGTGTTTATAAATTCCTCAATTAATCAGACCCACCCAGCCCCGTCTGCCCCGCCCCAGTCCCGCCCCGGGAACAAGAAATAGCATGCACCATAGAACACCTGTGTCCATGCCACAGAAAAACACAAAGCAGCTCTACAATGGCCGAGACAGCACAGCAGTCACACTATGCCCATGTTGCCTAGAACACACAACAGTTCTACAATGGCTACGAACGTCAAAGTATAGCAGTACACATGTGCCCATGCCACAGAGAAACGTAAGATAGTTATACTGCGACCGAGAACAGAGAGAGAGAGAGAGAGAGAAATGGGGTTTAACGTCCACTCGAAACAAACTAGGTCATTTTGGGACTAACATATGGTTTAACTTTATTTCAATAATTCGTTTGCGCGTAGGGGTCTTTAGCAGGGGAGGAAACCGGAGGATCCGGAAAAACCCACGAGGATGGACAGGCGACCCTACTCCTTGTCACGTACAACCGGAGAATCGAGACCACGTCAGTTGACTCAATGACAGGTCTTATAATACAGCACGCACGTGCTAACCATTCGGCCATCCAGCCCCCCCCCCCCCCGCGACCGACAACACCTTAGCACACCAACTCCACTGTACCCATTCGGCAGAGAACCTTACAGTTTTACTTTGCCAGAGAACACTCTGGAAAATCATAGGTCTCACTGAACACACCATAAAACAACAACAATCCTAATATGCCCACAACAGTCCTAATATGCCCATGCGGCAGAGTACACAAAACAGTTCTACAGAGAACACCATAGAACAATAATCGCACTGTGCCCATGGTTGAGAGGGCATAAAACGGTTCAAAGAAAGATCCTTAGAACATGAAATGAAATGTGGTTTAGCATTCTTCTTCTCAGCACCGACTGGACTAATGAAGATGGGCGCACGTCGGTGTGCTTTGACGAAATTTGCCCGGACAACCCGTCCCATATCCGAACAACTAGACAACTGTTCTTTTCAGCCCCTTAGAACAGTAGACCCCGTGTCGCTAGTATTGGTGGAACCACTACTTTAAATTGTAGTTTAATATGCCATAAATAAGCGTTTCCTGTCACTAGTTCATAAATAATGACTATCGATCGTCACAGGTAGTCAACCAGGTAGAACAATAGACACTTATTATTAACACGTTTACATCAAGTCAGGTAGACCGTCATTGAACAATAGTCACTTCAGGTTAATAGTCACTTTAATTCCACGTTCTGTCTGACAATTTGTTCCATAAAAAAAGACTATAGATTTGCAGTTAATGAAAGCCTTTCGGTTGTTGACTTGCATTGTGGTAAAACCATTCTGGAAGGTTTATTTTAAACATTAGGACTCATTATCTTGAACTTAATCAATCAAATAGTCAGAAGGTGATTGTAACATTCAACTAAAAGGTAGCTGGTTGATCTTATCTAAACATCCGTTAACGTCTATCTTGCCAAATAGGATCAAAACTTGCATTCTTTATATTAAAACCTGTCACCTTTTATTCAACGCTCAAGTCCCATATAAGAGATAAAGGAACAAAAATGAAATGGGGTTTAAGAACCCGCAAACGCCATGCAGTGTGCCATGAGGCAAATTGTGCCGGGGCAGTGGCATTATTGCCTACCGCAATGCCAAGGGTTGTTTTACGGAAATGAAATGGAGTTTTACGTCGTTCATTTCTGCCCATTCCGGGCTTATGAAGACGAGGAAACGTCATGCAGTGCAGTGTGCTATGATGATGCAAATTGTGCCCGGGCAGTGGCGCTATCGCCTACTTTTAATTTCGACTTTTTAATGTCCGAACGATTAGACGCATTTCCTTCACCATTGACACGGGGAACCCATGCTGGAAAATCCCGGGGATCTTTCTCGGTCAGCACCGAGATCGAACCCCGAACTTCCTGTTTTATTAAACCAGCGCCTTAAACACTGAGCAATACAAGAAGAGAAGCGAGAAGACAGAATAGAAAGCGTCAGTGGTGCAGGACGGAGGGCCTGCCAAGGACAACTGTCTAGTCGTACGGATGGGTCGAAAAACCGAGGTTTCGTATACGCGTTGGCGCGCGCATAAAAGATCCCCTGGCAGTTGGAATTCGATATAAGATTAGGACATAACGCCGCTGTGCTGTCAAAATTTCCCGCATCGAACACTGTATGGCATATGCCCATCAACACTAGCCCAGTCGGAGTAGAACATTAGGACGATAGACCCCATTTCATTTCAGTTCAGAAGAGAAAGTGGAAGAAGTTACCGGGTTCGCTCCCAGTGTCGGCTGAAAAAGTTC